ATTATTGATTTTTTAGAGAGAGAGAGTAGGGAAGAGAGAGAGAGAGAAACATTGATGTGAGAGAGAAACATTAATAGGCTGCCTCCTGCATATCCCATCCTGGGAATGGAGTATACAACCTAGGCATGTGCCCTAACTGGGAATCAAACTAGCAACTTCTCATTCCATCAGAAGACGTTCAAACCTCTGAGCCACACTGGCCAGGCTAATTAACTTATTTTTTTTATTACAGATGACTCTTTTTTTCCCCTTGACACCCTCCTCACTGCTTCCATCTTCTGTCTTTACTGCACTGTCTGTGTTCATTGTTTATGCAAATATGCATATAGTTTTTTTGGTTTATCTCTTCCAGCTCCCCACTCCTTTCCCTCTGAGGTTTGTTAGTCTGTTCTTTACTTCCATGTCTCTGGATCTATTTTGTTCATCAGCTTACTTTGTTCATTATATTCCATAAATAATTGAAATCAAGTGATACTTTTCTTTCTCTGATTGGCTTATTTTGCTTAGCATAATAATTTTTAGGTCCCTGATGTCCTCTCAAAGGGTAAGAGATCTTTCTACCTTACAGTTGCATAGTATTTCATTGTGTATATGTACTTCAGTTTTTATCTACTCATCTACTGATGAATACTTGGGCTTTTTTCCAGATTTTAGCTATTGTAAATAAGGATTCTATGAACATAGGGGTACCTATAGTTTTTCTGATTGGTGTTTCAGGCTTTTTAGCATATATTCCTAGAAGTGGAATCACTGTGTCAAATAGATCAATTTTTAATTTTTTTTGAGGAAATGTCATATTGTATTCCATAGTGGCTGTTCCAGTCTGCATTCCCACCAGTATATACTAGAGTCCCCTTTAATCCACAATATCACCAGCACTTGTTGTTTGATGATTTGTTGATGGTGGCCATTCTGCAGGTGTGAGGTGATACCTCATAGTCATTTTACTTTGTATCTCTCTGATGCTTAGTGATGTTGAACATTTTTTCATATGTCTCTTGGCTGTTTGTATGTCCTATTTGGAGAAATATCTATTCAGGTCCTCTTCCCATTTTTAATTGGATTATTTGTCTTCCTTTTATTGGGTTGTATAAATATTATATATATTGTAAAAATTAACCCCTTATCCAATGTGTCATTGGCAAATATGTTCTTCCATACATTGGGTTTCCTTTTCATTTTGATGCTGGTTTCTTTTGCTGTATAGAAGCTTTTTAGTTGATGTAGTCCTATTTATTAATTACTTTTCTTTTGTTTCTCTTGCCCTAGGCAATGTATTGGTGAAAATTCTGCTATGTGTGATGCCTGAGATTTTGCTGCCTATTTTGTCTTCTAGGATTTTTGTGGTTCCAATTTTTGTGGTTACAATTAAGTATTTTATCTATTTTGAGTTTATTTTTTTGTATGGTGTAAGTTTGCAGTCTAGTTTTATTTTTTTTGCATGTACCCGCCCAACTTTTTCAACACCATTTATTGAAGAGACTATTTTTACTCCATTATATGCTCTTGCCTTTTTTGTCAAATATTAATTGAGCATAATGTCTTGGGTCAATTTCTGGGTACTCTGTTTTTTTCCATTGATCAATATGCCTGTAGTAGGCTGTGTTGATTACAGTGGCTTTGTAGTATAACCTGATGTTTGGAATTGTGATCTCTCCATCTTTGTTCTTTTTTTTCAAGGTTATTGTGGTTATTTAGGTTCTTTTTTGGTTCCATATAAACTTTTGAAGTATTTGTTCTAGATCTGTGAAGTATTTTATTTATATTTCAATGGGAATTACTTTGAATCTATAGATTGAATTGGGTAGTATTGACATTTTAATGATATTGATTCTTCCAATCCATAAACATGGTATATGCTTCCACTTTTTATATCTTCCTCTATTTTTTTTTTTTTTTTTTTTTTAATGTCTTGTAGTTTTATGAGAACATGTCTTGTACCTCCTTGGTTAAGATTACTCCTAGGTATCTTAATTTTTTTGTTGCAATGGTAAATGAAACATTTTTTAGTTTTTCTTTCTTTGTGTTCATTATTGGTGTTTATAAATGCCAATGATTTCTGGTTGATTTTGTATCCTGCTACTTTGTCAAATTTATTTATTAAGTCTAGTAGTTTTCTGATGGACTCTTTAGGGTTTTCTATGTACAATATGATGTTATCTGCAAATAATGACAATTTCACTTTCTCCTAATTTGGATGCCTTTTTTTTTTTCTTGTTTGATTGCTGTAGCTAAGACTTCCCGGACTATATTGAGTAAGAGTAAAGAAAGCAGACATCTTTGTCATGTTCCTGTTTTTTAAAAAAATACTTTTAGTTTTTGCCAATTGAGTAGGATGTTGGCTATAGATTTGTCATATATGCCCTTCACTATGTTGGGGTATGATTCTTTTATTCCCACTTTGATGAGAGTTTTTATCAAAAATAGGTGCTGGATTTTGTCAAATAATTTTCACCATCTAATGATATGAACAAATGGTTTTTATCTTTTATTTTGTTTATGTGGTGTATCATAATTATTGATAAATGTCACTAGGTTGTGTTGTACAATTAAAAAAAATATATATTGCTGAATGTATTTTTTAAAATTTTGTTGAGGATCTTGGCATCTATGTTCATCAGGGATTTGTCCTGTAATACTCTTTGTTTGTAGTGTCTTTATCTGGCTTTGTGATTAGGATTATGCTGGCCTCATAAAAAGAGCTTGGAAGCCTTCCTTTGTCTTGAGTTTTTTTGGAATCATTTGAGGAGAATTGTTGTAACCCAGGAGATCGACCACACTCAGACTCCATTTTTCAGTTTTGGGGGATGTTTTATTACCTGCGCAGGGACTGCAGCCTACCTACACAGAGGAGAACTGCAGCCCCGAGCTCAGGGGGAGGGTTGCTTATATAGGGCCGGGGTCACTCAAGAGTTTAGCAGAGCAAGCAAGCTGCTTGTACAGAAGCGGAGGCAGTTAGCGATAAGCAGGAGGGAACAGAGGGGGGAGGGAGCTGAGGCGAAAGGGAACTGGGTCAGCATACATCTGTCCTGCTATTCATTCCATTATCCAAGTTTTAAAAACTAACAAATTCGAGACAGATATCAGCGGTCAGTCAGGTGCAATACACACATGTTGAACAGTTACAGTTTTATGGGGTAAAGGGAGCTTCAGTTTCTCCCTATCATTTTCTTTACAGAGCATGCAGGACACTCTGGCCTTGGGGCCGTTTGTGTCCTCCCTTTTCTTGAAGGATGTTGCTTTTCAAATTCCCAGTGAAGGTCAAACTCTAGTTAATTTTTATGGGGCTAAAGCCCTCTATAACATTCCCCATTGTTCGTCTTGCTGTCTCTGAGGTTGTTAATTAGGGCAGCTTAAAGACAAGTTGGATTCTAAGGACAATGAGCTACAACAGAATAAGTATTCTTTAGATATTTGGTAAAACTGCCCTGTGAAGTTGTCCAGACCAGGGCTTTAGTTTGCTGGGAGTTTATTGATTACTGCTTCTAATTACTTAATTGTTATTGGTCTGTTCAGGTTTTCTGATTCCTCCGAGTTCAATTTTGGAAGACTGTATTATTCTAGGAACTTATCCATTTCAACTAGGTTTTCCTGTTTGTTGGCATATAATTGTTTGTAGTATGTTCTTACAATTCTTTGTATTTCTGTGCTGTCAGTTGTTCCTTCACATCTTTTGTTTCTGATTTTATTAATTTGGGTCTTCTCTTTTTGGTTTTTGGTGAGTTGAGCTAAAAGTTGATCAATCTTGTTTATCTTTACAAAGAACCAGCTCTTGGTTTCATTGATTTTTGTATAGTCTTTTTAGTCTATGATATTTATTTCTTTAAAAAATTTTTTAAAATTTATTTTTGTTACAGATGTTTCTCCTTTTCCCCCCATTGACACCTCCTCCCAATCGCACCCCAACCCCGGCATTATAATATTTGTCCTTGTTTATGCATACATGCATATAAGTTCTGTGGTTTATCTCTTCCCTCCCCCACATTTACCTCTTCTGAGGTTTGTCAGTTTGCACCCCACTTTCCTTTGGGGTCCATTTTGTTCCTCAGTTTGTTTTGTTTATTATATCCCACAAGTAAGTGAGATTATATGAAACTTTTCTTTATCTGACTGGCTTATTTCACTTAGCATAACACTTTCCAGGTCTCTTCATGTCATCTCTAAGAATAAGAGATCTTTCTTTCTTATGTACTTCATTGTGTATATGTGCCAAACCTTTTTTTATCCATTCATCTATTGATGGACACTTGGGTTGCTTCCAGATCTTAGCTATTGTAAATAGTGCTGCTATGAACATAGGGGTACATATATTCTTTCTGATTGGCATTTCAGACTTCTTAGGGTATATTTCTAGAAGTGGTAACACTGGGTCAAATGGAAGTTCAATTTTAATTATTTGAGGAAACACCATGTTGTTTTCCATAGTGGCTGCACCAGTCTGCATTTCCACCAGCAGATTACTAGAGTCTTCTTTTCTTCACACTCTCTCCAGAACTTGTTGTTTGATGATTTGTTGATGTCAGCCATTCTGGCAGGTGTGAGGTGATACCTCATAGTTGTTTTAATTTGCATATGATATTTATTTCTGCTCTGATCTTTATTATTTCCTGCCTTCTACTAACTCTGAGTTTCTGTTTTTCTCTATTTTTTATTCTTTAAATTATCAGGTTAGATGGTTTATTTTGAAATTTTTCTTGTTCTTGAGTTAGACCTGTGTTGCTATAAACTCCCCTTTTAGGACTGCTTTTACTGTGTGCCATAGGTTTTGTGTTTATTATCATTAGTTTTCAGGAAGTTTTTTATTTCTTTCTTGATAACCCATTCATTGTTTAATAACATGATATTTAGCTTCCATGTATTTGAATGTTTTTTAGTTTATTTTTTTATTATAATTGATTTCTAGATTTATGTCATTGTGATCTGAGAAGATGCTTGATACAATTTTAATCTTCTTGAACTTGTAGAGACTTATTTTGTGTCCTTTCAGAATGTCCTGGGTGCACTTGAGAGAAATGTGTATTCTGCAGTTTGGAGGTAAAACATTCTGTAAATATCAATTGAATCCAGTTGATCTCGTAAGCCATTTAGGGTGTCTCTTTCCTTGTTAATTTTTTGTCTAGAAGATCTCTCCAGTGATGTCAATGAGGTGTTAATGTCACCTACTATGATTGTATTGCTGTGGATCTCTCTCTTGAAGTTGTACCAATGTTTTAAAATATATTCTGGTGCTTCTATATTCAGTGTATATATTCTCTTGTTTGATCTATTCTTTTAATATTAAATAGTATGCTTCTTTGTCTCCTACTATGGCCTTTATATTGCTACACCAGTTGTTTTATTTTGTTTGTTTCTATTTCCATGGAAAAGTTTTTCACCTCTTGACTTTCATCCTGTGTGAATCTTTTGTTCTGAGATGGGTCTCTTTTAGACAGCATGTACATGGATCATAGTTCTTATCAATTTGCCACTTTACATCTTTTGATTGGAGCATTTAAGCCATTTACATTTAAGATTATTATTGATAGGTACTTGTCTGTTGCCATTTTTATTCTTTATGCTGGGGTTTCTCCTCTATTTCTTTCTCTTCTTACAACAGTCTCTTTACCATTTCTTGCAGTGCTGGTTTGGTGGTAGCAGATTCCTTTAGTCTTTTTTTGTCTATGAAGTTCTTTATTTCCCCTTTAATTTTGAATCATAACCTTGCTGGATAGAGTATTCTTGTATTCAATCTTTAGATTTTCATTACTTTGTATACGTCATGCCACTTCCTTCTGGCCTGCCGTGTTTCTATTGAGAAATGAGCTGACTGTCTAATGAGAGCTTCCTTGTAGGTAAATTTCTGTCTCTCTCTTGCTGCCTTTAAGAGTCTTTCTTTGTCTCTAACATTTACCATTTTAATCATGATGTGTCTAAGTGTGGGTCTTTTGGAGTTAATTTTGATTTGGGACACTGTGATTCCTGGACTTGTGTGACTTTTTTCTTTACCAAGTTAGGGAAATTTTCTATCATTATTTCTTCAAACATCTTTCTATTTTTTTCTGATTCTTCTCCTTCTGATACTCCTTTGATGCAAATTTTGTTACTTTTCATATTGTCCCAGAATCCCTTAAACTCTACTCCTGCTTCTCAATCTTTTTTGCTCAATTTGCTTCTCTGGTTTTGGGTGTTTTATTCTACCTCATCTTCTAACTTGCTGATTCATTCTTCACCTTCTTCTAATTTACTATTATAACCTTCCAGGATATTTTTTATATCAGCTATGTTATTCTTTCTTTCCACTCAATTTTTATTTATAGCTTCTACCTCATTTTTTTTTTATGTAGTTCTCATTAAGTTGCTTGTAATTCTAAGTTGTTTGAGCATCCTTAAAAACATTGCTTTGAATTCTTTATCTGACAAACTGCTTGCCTCTATTTTATTTAGTTTTTTTTTTTTTTCCAGTGATTCCTCCTTTTCTTTCATTTGGGGGTTCTTTCTTTGTCTCACCATTTTAGCAGTCTTGTAGTTCAGGGTCACATGAGGCACATTGGGATGCATAGACAGGTCGGTGTTTATCAGATGAGATTTCTGTGCCTCCCAGTCTTGATGTGGTGGCCTTCTTGTGGGACCCAGAGGAGTAGTTTTAATGATCTTTGTAGCTGGCTTTTTTAGGAATGACCTTTGTGTGATTCAAGTGTGCTCTCCTGTTGAATTTGGGTCTCTATTACTGTTGTCCATTTGTGGGTGGGCTCAGTCCTCAGGGTTTTTGACTGTGAGTCTCAACCCCGACCCTGTTAACCCTGTTGTGCCATTGAATTTTGCTCCAGTATTGTTGGATCTGGCCCCTTGGGTGTGGGTCCCTGTCCTCTTGGGCTATTCTTTGGTGCAGGCCAATGTGAATTGCATCTCTGCTTGGATCTGGGCCTCCTGTCTGAAGCCCTGGAGGGCTGGATTCCAGGCAGTCCTCCAGGCAAAATTTCCCTAGCCTGGAGGCTAGTTCACATTTGGGTCCACTTGTATGTATTTGTTCTTGGCTGCTTTTTCTCCTCCAACAGCACTAGGCTTTGTGGGATGTCAGGTCCAATGAGGGTTGTTTAAGCAGATTTGTGTTGTGAGTGGTGCCTGTAGCTTATAGTAGGCAATTTCTTTCTCTTCTTTCAATGCCTCAGCTTACCCTGGGTTTCTGGCACCCCCTAGTCACCACCAGGGGACAATAGAAAAAGAAAAAGAAAGGGGAAAATAAAGCTCTTTTAGCTCTTTTATCTTTTAGCGTGACTCTCACTAGATGGGGCTTCTGCCCAGACTTCCACCCTGCCAGATGTCTGAGTCCCCAGTGCCACCATGTCCTGCTGCTGGAGGGCTGATTTCCATCCCAGAGCTGGTCTACTGCGGGGGTATGGGACACCACCTTTTTGCTTGAGGTGGGAAGGAATGCACCTCTTTCCCTAGGCACTCTGACTAGCCCCCATCAAAGGTCTTTCAGTGAATACCTGACCCCTAAGATTCAGTGCTGTGTAATCTGCTCAGGCCCCTCCTCAGGTGTGCCATTCTGCTTTGTGGCCTCTCTGGCTCCCAGAATCAAGACAAGCTTTCCAGGCTGGTTGTAACCATGCACTGGGTATTAGCCTTCAATAGTGCTGAGTCCTCCTGGTGGGCCAAATCACCTCTGATTCCCACTGTTCAATTCTACATGGGGTTCTCTTCCCTTCTCTGTTGCTCTCATTTGGGGATATCTGTGTGGGGCTGAGTCCCCCCACTCCCGGGGTGGAGGACTGAGCTCCTGCCCCTTTCCTCCATCTTTCCAGGCACACTTCACAGTTGTACGAGTTTACTCACCCACTTTGCATTTTTTTCTGACCCTTCTCCATGCTCTCTGTTCACAGTATTTTCAATCAGCTATTTCCAGGTGGATTTTGGAGTTGAATGTTCTGCTTTTTAGCCTTAAGTCTGGTCCTGTGCTTGGAGCAAGTAGATGAAACTTCCTTTAGCTTCAGCCATCTTGCCTCTTCTGTCTATTTGTCTTTGCAGTTCTATCAAGTGTTGCTTCACCTATTTTGAAGCTCTGTTGTTAGGTGCACACATGTTGAATACTGTTATATTTTCTTTGAGAATTGATCCCTTTATCATTATGTAATGCCTCTCTGTATTTCTGATAATTTTCTTTAATCTGAAATGTGCTTTGTCTGAAGTTAATATAGCTACTTTAGCTTTTTTTATTAGTGTTTGCATGGCATATATTTCTTCATTTAAAAAATTTTAATCTATGTGTGTATTTATAATTAAAGTGGGTTTCTTGTAGACAACATACAATTGGGTCTTGTGTTGTATCCATGCTACAGTCTCTTTCTTTTAATTAGGGTACTTAGACTCTTCCCACTGACAGTGATTATTCATATCCACCATGATTGTAACTGTGTGCTATTAATTGCATTTGTTCTTTATTTCTTATTGTATCTTTCCTCTTTTTCTGCCTTTTCTGATTTTAATTGATAATTCTATATTATTTACATTTTTCTCCTCTCTTAGCAAAACAATTATACTTCTTTTAACAAAATTTTAAAAGAGTGGATGCCCTAGAGTTTGCAGTATACATTAACAACTAATCTATGTCCACTTTAAAATGTGCTGCTTCACACGTAGTGTAGGAAACTTAAACCACAGGCACTTTCTTTATGTGCCTTATATCATTGCTACCATTTATTTTACTTACCTACATATCCACGCCCAGTAGAGGAAGCGAAAACCAGTGGAACACCACAGGGAAAATTTGGCAGACTCCAAAACCCACAGAGACAGCCAAAAATGGGGAAACAAAGAAACAAATTTCAAATGAAAGAGCAAAATAATTCTGCAAGAGAAGAAATAAATGACATAGAATTAGGCAAGATATCAGAGGTAGAGGTCAGAACAATAATCATGAGGAAGCTCAACAGCATGAGTAAGGACATCAGCACCATGAGTAAAGATATAGAAACGTTGAAAACCAACTAATTGGAAATAAAGAGTATCATAGCAGAACTAAAGAACATATTGGAAGGAAAAATCAGCAGAGTAGACGAAGCCAAGGACAGACACAGTGAATTACAAGACAGGGTAGTAAAAAATCACCCAATCAGAAAAACAAAAAGAAAAAATTAAAAAACAGGAAGACAGCCTAAGAGAACTGTGGGACAATGTGAAATGTAACAACATAGGAATTCCAGAAGAAGAAGAAAATGTGCAAAGGTTAGAGAATATATTTGAAGAAACATTGATGGAAAACTTTCCTAGCTTGGTGAAGAAAAAGGCATACAAGTCCAAAAAGCACAGAGAGCCCCAAGTAAGGACACAAACAGGCAAACACCAAGGCACATAATAGTTAAAGTGCCAGAAATTAAAAACAAAGAGAATTCTAAATGGAGCAAGAAATAAGCAACAGGTTGCTTACAAAAGAACTCCCAAAGGCTATCAACTGACTTCTCAACAGAAACACTACAGGCCAGAAGGGAATTGCATGAAGCAATCAAGGTTATGAAAAACAAGGATCTGAATCTGAATCCAAGACTACTCTATCCAGTAAGGTTGTCATTCAAAATAGAAGGTCAAATAAAGAGCTTCCCAGACCAAAAAAAAAAAAAAAAAGCTAGGGGAATATATTAGCACCAAACCAGCACTGCAAGAAATGTTAAAAGGTCTGCTCTAACTAGTACAAGAAATAGAAAAGAAAATATAACCACACTAAACAAAAAATATAACCACACTAAACAAAAATGACAATAAATAAGTACATATCAATTATCACTTTAAACAAAAACTGATTAAACACTCCAATCAAAAGACATAGAGTAGATGAATGGATAAGAAAGCATGACTCATCTATATGTTGTTTACAAGAGATCCACCTCACAACAAAAGACTTACATAGGTTGAAAGTGAAGGAATGGAAAAATTTTTTCCAAGCAAGAGAACTGTGGGACAATGTGAAATGTAACAACATAGGAATTCCAGAAGAAGAAGAAAATGTGCAAAGGTTAGAGAATATATTTGAAGAAACATTGATGGAAAACAAAAAGGAA